AGTGGGTAGTGGGAATCAAAGAGTAAGTATTGGTCCGTGTGTGTGCGTTTCCTGTAAACCCCAATTTTCAGGCTCCTGTCCTCTTCAATGTGGACAGCACAGTCCAGGAAGGCCAAACTGTTGTTGTGGACATCTTCTCGTGTGAACTTGATGTTACTGTCCACAGAGTTGATGCGTTCTGTCTCTTGGATGAGTGACGAAACGTCTTCTAGTGTTTCTTATACAAAGTCCAGGTGCCCTTGACCTCAGCCTTCGTTGGATAACTATGACCCGGATGACTGAGAACCTTCACAGACATCCTGCTACTCAAATATGATATAACACAGGATACAAATGGAGCAGGATCTGGAGGTTAGGCCAGAATCTTAAACCTCATCCTGACCCGCTGAAGAGTTTATCCTTACAACTGTGGACTTTATTATTCACTATATTAAATGTTATCAGGCGTTCGGTGATGACAAGTTTTCAGTCCACTGTAAAGTATCAGGGCTGGAATCGATATGAAAGCAGCTGGTATCCAGTCAGAAAGAAATATCATGATTTTAGGTGACCGCACATTCATAAGTTTTCTTTTGTTTTGTTTTTTTTATACAGATGAGCCACGCTCCAACTGATGCTTGACCAGTATTTATTTGTTCCTTTTCACAAATAATCCTCTTTTGACCAGCAAACACCATGGAAATAAAGTAATTACAATCACTTTCAGTATGAAATAGAATATAAACACAAAATATTATCAGTTCAAAATAAAATAAGCACATACTGTGTGAGCCTTCTGGACAGAAATTTAAGTTTAGGCTGTTACAGTCCTCTAATGTCGAAACACAGTCTTCTGGAACTCTTTTCTTCTTTTTTAGCTTCTGATAACAGCTTAAACATCAACTATTGATCATGTGAACCCAGCATGCACTTCAGTTAGTGTAATTCACAAGTTAAACAGTTGATCTCTCTATTACTCAATAGAAAACAAATATTATTTACATTTATTTAATTACACAGTAAACAAATACCTACATGAACTCTCACTCAACTAAAAATCATATACCCCATCTTTCCCCTAAACTTCAAGCTTTGTTGCCTGTACACAAATGATCAACATCACTATTGGCACCCACCAAATTATTCAAGCACATATTCAAAGTTGTGACATTAATCAGTGGTGAAATGTAATTTGTTAAAATTTAATCTACCCAACAGTTTATACAAGTACAGCAAAAACAATTAGTTGATAAAGTGATTAATTTATTGACAGAAAATAAAAATAAATGTTAAAAATATTTTATGGTTCCAACTTTTCGAGTGTGAGAATTTGCTGCTCTTGAATTGTTGATTTCACTTTATTTGTAATACTTTTGAGGTTTGGACTGTTGGTTGGTAAACTGTGAATCATTGTTAAAGTGCCAGTTTATAATTATCAGGTTAATGAATTATGAAAATAATCACAGTTGCAGCCTGATACAAAAGTAGTTCAAAATGAACCTCAGTCCGCAGTAATGAACACACTGATCTTAAAACAATTATTATACTACAGCTGTAATCAGAAAGCTGCTCTGAATGTCATCGTTTTACATTCAAAACTTCTTCAAAGCGTTCTTGAATGAAGCTTTGAATGTCTGCCATATTTTAAGTTTATTTATCAGAAAGGACTCCTAAAACAATAACCACAGGGTCATCACAAAAAAGACACCTGCAACATCCCTTCCAGCTTTATTGCCCTTTGTTACTCTTAGATTCTGTTGTCAGAAGAGGATGAAGGGTCGATGTTGTAGACCTCATACATGATGGAGGTTCATACTGTGTATGAATTTTGTCATTAATCAGATCTGATTCTTCCTTATTCTGTCCAGAAACAAATGTGCATGAATGTTGTCAGAATCAGATCTTGAGTCTCGACTTCCATCCAGTTTTAAAATAAATGTTTCTCCCCATCGGGGAATCAAACCCCAGTCTTTTGCGTGACAGGCGGAGATACTATGCACTATACTAACGAGAAAGGGTCAATTAATAGGCCTCCACACAGAATTTGTTTTCGGAGTTTCACTGCTGAAACGTGCCTTCATTGATGAGTAATAAAGTTTATAGTTACAGCTACAGTTTAGACCACAAGGTGGCGCTGTTTGTCCTGTTTATTGACCTGCTTGGTGAAGAATTATCATCTCAATCTGATGTTCTGTGTGGAGCTGTCTTGGATCAGAAGTGAAAAGTACACAGTGTTTCCGCCCGGTCTCGAACCGGGGACCTTTCGCGTGTTAGGCGAACGTGATAACCACTACACTACGGAAACTCAGTGAAGGTGATGCTTTCAGGGACACACAGGAAATTGGTCTTTCATACTGATGTGCAGCGTTCCAACCGTATAAAACTGAGTTCAGACCAGGTTTATAATCGTTAACGAAAACTAGGTGTGGAAAACATATTTAACTGAAATAAAATGTAAACGTTTACAAAAGAGCGATAACGGAAACTATATTGACAGTTTTGCAAAACTAACTAAAATAAATTGAAATTAGAGTATGTGTCTTTTTGCTCATCCTGTGTCTGTGATGAACCTACCCCTGATAAATTGATTGCGAGCTCCCCGTGCACCGGTGTTAACATGTCTGCTTTTCATTATGTTTACCTTGTGTTTTATGGGGTCATTGATATCTCAGCCAACATGTCTCTTTGTGTTTTAATTTAACCAGAATTCCTGTTTTTTGGTAAATAAATGTTTAGATTTTAATATAATATAACTGTCCAGGCATACTTCCCCTCAGCGTGTTGGGGACCTCTTGCCTGTGGCTCCGTGGGGGGAGCTACAGTAGCCTATCTTCCAATTTCTTTGTTGTGCCAGTTTTTAGTCCACACCCTGCGCCTGGCATCATGAGTGAAATAGACTAAAACTAACAATGAATACTAAAAACTAAACTATAACTGAGCATTTTCAAAAAAAATACGAAAATAAACTAGCAAACCTGCTTTAAAAACTAATTAAAGCTAAACTGAAATTAAAAACAAAATGTCAGGACGAAATAAAAATAAAAACTAATGACAACTGCACAACCTTACTGACCTTGGTTCAAAGTAACAGTTTGTATGTATTAAGCGCCAAGTGTGGTAATGATAAACTGTGTGCGAGTGTCACCGTCAGGAACATACCGTCAACAGGCTGACGTCTGTTATTATTACTATTGATTATATTTTGCAAAGAAACAACATTATGTTTCCACCCAGTTTTGAAACAGGGACCTTTCGCGAGTGAGGAGAATGTGATAACCACTACACTAAGAAAACAGCTCACTCACCTGTGCCGTGGTCCACCATTTCAATGTATTTGTGTGTCGAAACTATGAATACAAGCCAATAATACAATTCAAATTGTCCACTAAGAAATTATGAAAGATTTATTTCACTTAAGGTTCTACTTCAGTAACAAAACAATATTTAAAATAATCATTTTGATGGATAAGATTTATTAAAAATACACGGAAAAATCATCTGGGCCCTGTTTCAGAAAGCAGGTTCAACAAACTCTGAGTGTAAACCTGAACTCTGGGTTGACGAATTCTGAGCTGTCAAACTCCGAGTTTTCCGTTTCAGAAAGGCAGATCAGAATAAGTTCAATCAACTCTGAGTATGTTGAGCCTGATGGAAGCGCGTGTGTGCAGATGGAAAAAAAACCATTATCACCATGGCAACGGCTAAATAAAGACCCTCCATTTTAATCTTCGTTGGATACATTTTATACAGCGTTGCTTATTCATCATTTAGCAGACTGGAATTTCCTTGATTGATAGAGTGCTGTAATTCTCCTACAGCCTGTTATTTTAAATAGGCTAAAAGCCAATTTATTCAGCTGGAACCTGACGGGACTAAATGCCGGTGGCAATAACTAAAGATGAAAATATTAATCAAACATATTAGACACAGTTTAGGCTCCTCGTGGACCTGTGATTGTAAAGTGACAGTCCGACTCAGTAGGCCTATTAAAGATTTTTTTTTGCAAGTAAAATGTGTCAAGGTTCAAACTGACTGTGACATTTTAGAGGTCTATTTTACATTAATAAAATCTTGCTCATTTCGTGTTTTATGAAATGCTGTCAAAACACATTCAGACTATCAGCAGATAATGAAAAACTCACTTTTAAACTATATTTATTTGTTTCAGCTGCAGCACAGTCATCCTCACTCAGAAATCTTCACATCATATCCAGCTGATAACTACGATAGGGATGTTGATAACGACAGGATTGTTCAATCTGTTCGACTACAATATGAAAGGTTTTATACAGATTACTTTAAACAGTGATTACTGCAGCACTGTAACGCATGGTAAATGTTTAATGTCCACAGAGTCACTGTGTTATAAAGAAGGACAGTGTAGCTTATAGATTTTATTCTGTGCTGAAGATAAATTTACGATGTCCAACTCTCTGTCCAAACACCGATGACAGATTGATCACAAATAAAGAAAATGTTTCCACTTAAAGCTAAATTGAGACACATCACAAGTGTTTTCTGCTGATTTAATCTATCATGGACATCTGTCTCTGTTATGTATTAATTATTCTTAATTAACCTACATTTAAAGCCGTTTTATCAGTCAGTACACTTCAGTATGATCTCAAGTTGTCAAACAGATGTAGACATTTACTACTACACTGTTACCACTAATGATGGCCTAGTATTTTTACTTTTTCTTTTATTTAACTTTTATTTAACCAGAAAATTCCTTAGAGATTTAGATCTCTGGCCAACATGCACAGTTACAATTTAAATAGAGATAAAAGTGAAACAAAAACTATTTTAAATCTGAATACTTCCTCCACCGCTGAAATTCTTATAGTTTGACCTTCACATCGTTATTCACTTCTCATGGAGGATTTTTTTTGTTGTTGCCTCTTGTATAGCGCATGCGCAGTCTTGTTTAAATCTCAGCCAATCCTGTACGAGGAACAGCACAGTTAAATTTGCATCAAGTGCATAGAAATGTGCCGCCTCATCGCTTCAGACTTATTCGTTGAGAACTATAACGAAGTTGAAGATGCCTGATCCAGTTAAGGCTCCGAAGAAGGGCTCAAAGAAAGCCGTCTCTAAGAGCGTCTCCAAGACCGGCAAGAAGAAGAGGAAGACCAGGAAGGAGAGCTACGCCATCTACGTGTACAAGGTCCTGAAGCAGGTCCACCCCGACACCGGCATCTCGTCCAAGGCCATGCTGATCATGAACTCGTTCGTGAGCGACATCTTTGAGCGCATCGCCGGCGAGTCCTCCCGTCTGGCTCACTACAACAAGCGCTCCACCATCACCTCCAGGGAGATCCAGACCGCCGTCCGCCTGCTGCTGCCCGGTGAGCTGGCCAAGCACGCCGTGTCTGAAGGCACCAAGGCCGTGACCAAGTACACCAGCTCCAAGTAAACCCGCTGTTACACCCAGCAACACAATGGCCCTTTTCAGGGCCACCCACTGTTTACACCAAGAGCTTTATTCCTCATTATTCACTTAATTTATGTAATTAAGAAATATTCATCTAAAATCCATTGCCAACATAATAGTCTCAATTAAACTGGGCTGTTAGGAAAATCTACTGTGTTTAATAAATACAAGATGACCTACACCTGAGGTCTTATAGATTCCTCTATCTAGCTTACAATCTTCATGTGTCCTTCCTCTTGAATTAAAATTTCTGCAGGCTGTCATTTGTACACATGGGAGCAAATTTAATTTAAACAAGTTTCACAATATTAAACAGACAGTATATATTTAAGTTTATAACATTATGTAAATACAGTAGTTTCAATCAGATACCAGGAAATTGTCTTCAGCCCTAAAGTAAACACAAAGGTGTTCCAAATATCTAAATTGTGACAGATCCTAATGTTGTCAGAATCGGATCTCGGGCTCAACATCCAGTTGTTAAATGTTTCTCCCTGTCGAGGAATCGAACCCCGGTCTTCTACATGACAGGTAGGGATACTGTCCCCTATAGTAACACTAGTAATCTGCGCATACGTTGGCGTCTACCTGTCGGAAGCTCCGTTTTAAACCGGACTCTTATCCAGTTTTAATCCACACTTTTTCGTTACATTTTTATATCCTTTTTATTTAACTTAAGTTTTTAAGATTTTACGTGGGTCAAGGATTTTAGTCATCCGACATGGATTTTAAGCTAGATGACCATAAAAACACTATCAACACTACTGATCACAGCAAAGCTCCGGCGTCTAACGTTATGCTAGCCGAGATAACTCTGCCCCATGAGGACTGCTCACTCCTTCAGAAAGCGAACAAGAAGATTGCTGACCTTATGGAAGACATCGGACGACTTTCAGAGGAACTCAAAGAGAAAGATTTCCTGCTGACTGGCTTTATGGATGTGGCTTCAGTACAAGCCAAACAGATTCTTTCTCTTAGCGCAACCGCCAACATCCAGGACACCGTGTTATGGGACCCCTCTAGCCTTCCCAGGCTTTCCTCCTGCTCGACTCCTAAGCTTCAGTCATCCTGGGCTGAAGTGGTGGTCCGTGGCTGCAAGAGAGGCTCGGACGGGGCTGCCTCTCCTCCGCACATCGCTATGCAGCCCTGTTTGACGAAACTCCGGTCCATCCAGCGGATGCACCTGCGGCTTCGAGTTTCCCTGATACGGATCTCTTTCGGAGAACAGTGCCTGCCGACACTGTTGCATCTCCTTCACCAGCTACATCTTCTGCGCTGGGCTGCCGGTCTGCCGCTGTGCCTGATCGGCGGCCGTCATCCCGGTCAAAAACCTCCGCTTCCCGACGTAGGATCCTGAAGGAGGCTGTGCTCAGACACTCCGGAGGCCGTCTCTACCCTGCACCGTCGGGTAGCCCTTCTCTCAGGTCTGTTACTGCTACTCCAACACAACACTCGGCAGCTCACACACTCCATCCTCAGTCCGCACACAGTGTTGAAGCAGATTCTGCTCAGTCCTGCTCTGGAACCCCACAACCAGCATCTCCTCGTCCTCTTTTCTCCACAACCACACTAATAATTGGTGACTCCATAACCAGAAACATCCATTTCTTTAACGCTACCACTCACTGCTTCCCCGGTGCCACCACGGCTGACATTTAAAAAAAAAAACCCAGGACCTAATGCCATCGCTCCCGTCCTCCATCACAAGAGTGATAGTCCATGTGGGAACAAATGACACAGCTTTTCAGCAGTCTGAGCTGACAAAATCAGATTTTAACCATCTTTTTAACTTTTTAAAGCAGATAATTTTAATATTTTCTGGCAAAGAATGTCTCTTTTTAAGGCAGACGGACTTCACCCACACAAACGGGGCTCAGAAATGTTAGCTGCGCACATACAGCATGTGGTGCGGTCCACACATGACTTACGTAAATGACTAATCATTCATGCAGCACACCTGGACGCACCACCGCTCACTGAACAGATCTCTGCCTCACTGCCACAAACAACTGTCTCCACCTGCTGGCATGTAAAGCCGTCTGCTCCCAGCGCTGTTCCAAAGACTTCTATTCCTGTCATCATCACGCATAGACCAGTAAACCGAAACGTGCACATCCCACACAGATAATAGTAATCTCTTAAGGATTAGGACAACTGCACCAACTCCAGCACCCAGAACAAACTCATTTAAAATGGCTCTCTTCAATGTGAGATCACTGTCAAGTAAGACTTTTATCTTAAATGATTTTATCTTGTCTGCAAATCTAGATTTTATGTTTTTAACTGAATCCTGGTTGCAAATGAATGACTATAGCCAGCTAGCTGAACTGTGTCCGCCTCAATATGATTGTTTTAGTCAAACGAGGGTCAGTGGTCGTGGTGGTGGGCTAGTGAGCGTGTATAGGAAAAATTTTAAATGTCATCAAGTACGCTGTGATGAATTTAACTCCTTTGAAGTTCTCACTCTTAAAGTTGGAGGGCTGCAACCTATCATATTTGTTATAATTTATCGCCCCCCAAAACCGCCTGGAGGATTTTTATCAGAACTTCCTGAATTTTTATCTACTCTGGTTTTAAATTATGACAGAATTGTTCTTTGTGGCGATTTCAATATTCATGTTGATGACCCCACCAATGTTAATGCAACTGACTTTTTAAATAAACACATAACCGTGGTCATACACTGGACTTGGTTTTTACCCTGGGTGTCAGTATTTCCTCTGTGGAATTAGTGGACATGACCATATCTGACCACAGATGTATTGTTTTTAGCTGCGATTCGCCTGTTACTCATGCCGCCTCACCAAGCTCCGTGTGTTCTCGTATCTTTAATGAACAAAGTGTTTCAAAGTTTTGCGCATTCTTTCAGAGCCAAAGCCAACACCTGTCTGATTCCAACACCAACAATCTGGTTGATCAATTCAATCATATCTGCTTGTCATCAATAAATATTACTGCTCCTCTAAAGGTTAGGCCTACGTCTAAAGCTAGTAAGCAACCCTGGATAAATGACAGCATTCGCAGCCTAAAAAGGGAATGCAGGAAAGCAGAGCTCAGATGGAAAAAATCCAGTCTCCAAGTCCATTACCTCAGTCTGAAGGATTTATTAATTAACTACAATAACATGGTTAAGGATGCGAGAACACACTATTTTTCTGAACTCATTACTACACATAAACACAATCCCAGGTTTCTGTTTAAGACTGTGGATCAGCTGGTAAACCCAACCCCTCCTTGTGCCTCAGCTGGAAGTAATGATGACTGTAAATTGTTTTTATCTTATTTTACCAATAAGGTGGTGTCAATCAGAGCCTCTATTACCCCCGCGGCCTCTTACTCAGAGGTTCCTCACCAGCAACAAGAGAGTTTTAACCAGTTTTATCCCATCGACTTGTCTGAGCTTTTAAAAACAGTATCACAAATGAGAGTGTCCTCCAGCCCACTTGATGTAATACCTACAAAGTTTTTACTGAAAGTAATAGATTCTGTTGGGCCCCATTTGATCTCTGTTTTCAACAGCTCCCTATCTAGTGGTTGTGTCCCTGATTATTTTAAAACGGCTTGCTTGAACCCACTTTTAAAGAGATCTGGTTTAGATCCCTCCCTCCCACATAATTTTAGACCAATTTCAAAACTGCCTTTTATTGCAAAGATTCTAGAAAGAATTGTGTCCAAACAGCTGCTCACTGTACTGGAAAATAACAAAATATTTGAAAAGTTTCAATCTGGTTTCAGGAAGTACCACAGCACTGAGACTGCCCTGCTTGAAGTCACCAATGACCTTTTAATGTCTGCTGATGAAGGCATGTGCTCAGTCCTGGTACTCCTGGACCTTAGCGTTGCTTTTGACACCATTGATCACAACATCATGTTAGACAGACTGAGGCACTGGGTGGGGATCTCTGGTACTGCCCTAGAATGGTTTTCATCCTACCTGTCAAATAGGAAGTTTTGCGTGTCTGTAAACAACTATGTCTCTTTGATCTGTGCAGTTAAATATGGTGTGCCTCAGGGGTCGGTCTTAGGACCCATTTTGTTTTCCTTGTATCTGCTTCCCCTTGGACATATTATCCATAAACATGGCATTTCTTTTTACATTTATGCTGATTATTATGCTGGTTCCCTAGTAAATCACATTAAGCCTGTGGCAAAGAACCTTGGTGTTTGGTGTGATAGTAATTTAAATTTCGAGCAACACACCACAAAGCTTGTTCAATCATGTTTTTATCAACTTAGAAATATAGCAAAAATTCAATCTATGTTAACTTTAAGACACCAAGACCATTTTACACACCTTTATCTCATCACGCCTGGATTATTGCAACAGCCTTTTTACCTGTTTAACCCAAAAATCTACTGATCGACTCCAGACTGTCCAGAACTCAGCTGCCAGGCTTTTAACCAGAACAAAGAAATATGACCACATTACTCCTATTTTAGCTTCATTAAAGCTTCAGTGCAGTGTACAATCAGGGTTAAAAGAGTTAAATGGAAAATAAAAATAGGCTGAGGGGTTGAGCAAATAATTGAGTTACAATTATTTATATAAGAGAATAAACAGAGAAGTACACTTAATCTACACTCTCTGGCTAGTCTGTACTCGGGTCCATAGCAATCTTTGGGTCCACTGAAACTCCAAAAACCCTCGAACACTACAGAGAAACCAGGACATGTCTGTCCGCAGGCCACTTTGATCCAGTTGCACGTTTACAGGTGGACAGAGGTTCCTGCTAATCACTCAGTCGCGAGATTTAAGACCACTTTCTTCACTCTGTTCAATCTCACTCTCATTATCTTTTCACTCAACTGCCTACTAATTTCCCACTGTGTAAATATTTAATTAAAAGCAATGGTAAAATGCTAAAAAAAAAAAGAAAAAGAAACCAGGACAGTAAAAGTTACAGTGCAGTGTAAGTTATCAATCCACTAGTTAAAAGCAGTGGTAAAAAGAAAAATCTTTAATATTTCATTAAAAGCAATGGTAAAAAGAAAAGTCTTCAGTCTTCATTTAAAAGAACTGACTGTTTCAGTAGACCTGCAGTTATCTGGGAGTTTGTTCCAGATATATGGAGCATAATAACTGAACGCTGCTTCTCCTTGTTTAGTTTTGACTCTGGGGACAGAAAGCAAACCTGCCCCAGACGACCTGAGAGGTCTGGATGCTTCATAACGAAGCAGAAGATCAGAAATGTATTTTGGCCCTAAACCATTTTAAAATCAATTCTTTGACATACAGGAAGCCAATGTAAAGACCTCAGAACTGCTAAATCCTTTAATCTGTGATATATTCTTCAGGTGATAGTAGGCTGACTTTGTAATTGTCTTAATGTGGCTCCTCAAATTCAGGTCTGAGTCCATGACTACACCAAGATTTCTTGCTTGATTTGTGGTTCCTAACATTACAGATTGAAGTTGAGCACTGACTTTTAATCGTTCCTCCCTGGCTCCAAAAACAATAACTTCAGTTTTATACTTGTTTGATTGAAGAAAATTCTGGCATATCCAATCGTCAACCTGCTCAATACAGTTACTCAGCACCCATAGGGGATCATAGTGCCCTGGTGAAATGGTTATGTAAATCAGCATAACTAAAAGATCTGGCACCCATTGTATTTTGTCGAACCCCATAATTCATCATTAAGATGAAAAGGTGCCACAAAAGACACCGATGTGAGGGAAAACTAAATCATGCCTTCATGATCAGCACACATTGCTGACTCAGCAGGGATGACTTTACATGAGAAAAGTTGATCTCCAGGAGAAACATATCTGAAAGCAAAAATTAGCCCATTTGCAGCCGCCTGTCTACGCCTATTCATTGTTAAACCCTTGTTAGTACAAGTGGTTCATGGTGTTTGTTGTAATTCTATTTGTTGTTCTGTCGTAAGGAATATAAAGGCAGCTGAAACTAATTAGTTATTTTTGGTTATATAAATTATCTGATGGTGGATTTTGAACCTGTGTGTGAGTTTGATCATTAATAACTTTTGATTTGCTGAATCTGATTTTCTGAGCTTGCATGAGACCTTTCTCATTAATTTTATTAATAGTAAAATAATAGAACTATCAGACATGGTTTGTTTTATGAACATAAACATTGATTCCACCCAAAATATTTAGATTTTATTTACTTTATGTTTAAATGTTTTACCTCTTTTACTAAGAATTTATATTATGATTCAGATTTATAACAGATATTTGTTTCATAAATCCCTCTCAATATATTATGTAAGCCCAAAACAACCCCACAAAAAATCAAAAACAACATAAAGTCTGTTAAATCACATAGGACTATTAATTTCAATATTTTCCATGTTTAAAGTCAAGTTTGATGAGTCTGCCTATAGAGAGACCCATTATGTGTAACTTAAATAAAAAAAATAAAAGGAAGCTCTTAAGTCCCAAATTTCCAAATAAAATATAAAGCTGATGATAAAACCTCTGTGTGCTCAATCAGATGACAATAATTACCAAGAAAACGTCAAATGAAAGTTATATTGATGTATTTATTTTTCCGGAACTGACCAGATCAAATCATGTCACAGACAGAAAGCTGGTCTGGACGCAAACTGAAGCTGATTAAAGTTATTTCTATAAGTCAGGTGTCTGTACAGTTCTTCTGTCAGTTCTTTCATGTTAAATGAAACATTTGGTGGAAACGGAAAGTCTTTTCCAGCAGTTCCATCTGTGACAGGAGTCCATTCAATTGACTGAGTCCCCGACAGCAACCGTGTGTTTACCTCCACAGAAAACGTCTCTGATTAAAACTAAATTAATCTCATTATTGCAGCGATTTCAATTTTATTCTATCCCTACACGTCTCCGCTTACTGGGAAACCACTGTCACATTTAATACAAATTAATTTTAGTCATTTTTAGAGACGAAATGTGAAGAAAACTCGCCACGAGTTGTACAAAGTGATGGTGTGTTGGAGAGGTTTGAAGCATCCTGGGATTAAATGAACGAGTCCTGGTCGCCAAACACGAACTCAGTCTGAAGCGAAGAACTTTTTCTCACTCATAAAATTACATTTATGGTCTAAAACGTTCGTCTTATGTGTATTTTATCGCCAAAATGCGGAAGAGAAAACACAAGTGTCGCCACATTTGAGGCGGGCGGCGGAGCGGCTGCGTGTGTTGCCTCTCCACGGTTCTCATGTGCTTTATAAGTCCCGCCTCCTCTCAGCTCGGACACCTTCAGACAAACACAGCAGACAGAGACGCAGAGATGGCGGAAGAAGCTCCAGCAGCGGCCCCGGTCAAAGTCCCGGCTAAAGCCCCGAAGAAGAAGGCGGCTCCCCGTCCCAAGAAGGAGGGCCCGACCCTCCCGAAGCTCATCATCAGCGCCGTGGCTGAGTCCAAGGAGCGCAAGGGGATCTCGCTGGCGGCCATTAAGAAGGTTCTGGCGGCAAAAGGCGTCGATGTGACCAAAGCCAACAAACGCATCAACACCGCCGTGACTAAGCTGGTGACCGGAGGAACCCTGGGACAAACTAAAGGGACCGGGGCCTCCGGCTCCTTCAAGCTCGCCAAGAAGGAGCCCAAAGCCGCCAAACCTGTCAAGAAAGCGGCGCCGAAGAAGAAAGCTCCCGTTAAAGCCAAGAAGCCCGCAGCCGCCGCCAAGAAAGTTACAGCGGCCAAGAAACCGGCAGTTAAGAAGCCAGCGGCCAAGAAACCGGCAGCGGCAGCAGCGGCCAAGAAGTCCCCGAAGAAGAAGGCACCGGCGAAGAAAGCCGTGAAAAAGCCGCTAGCGAAGAAGAGTCCCAAGAAGACCCCCGTTAAAAAGCTCAAGGCGGCCAAGAAGCCCGCTGCCAAGAAAGCTCCGGTAAAGAAAACTGCAGCCAAGAAGACCAAGAAGTGAAGCGGCTCTTTAATCCAGCACTCAGTGCACCAAAGGTTCTTTTAAGAACCACCACAGCTTCACTAAAGAGGCTTCCTCATTTATTAGTACAACTTCAACACCTTGTTACACAACAAACCCACTCTGAGCTGTAATTAGACAACACAACTATACTTATACCATATTATACATCCATGTGTTATTAGTATCAGATGGTATAATACTCTACATCAACTTTTATATTGGGAGTAAAATGCCTAATAAATCTACTCTAGTGAACTAAACAGAACTGTCATCACCATCAAAGCTTTATTTATTTAAATTTATTTATCAAACTCTGCAGTCAGATTGAAATTTTTCACCCAAACTTTAATGAGTAATTATACACGGAGTATGTGTTCCACACATTTTTTATTTTTTTTCCAACATACAGGTAATTTCTCAAACAGGTATTTGATGTGTGGCAGCAAGTGACCTTTCTCTTTTATCAAACATTTTTGTTCCAAGATAAGACACCAAGGAGAGTTTGTTAACATCCATCCTCTATGTGCACAATTACAATAGCTGATTGTTGGTTGTATTGAGTACTTCAGTATTAAAATTATAGTTTTAATACCATCATTTATTTTAATTTGTACTAAAGTGGTTTGATCCGTTTCACCCTGTATGTTCAGTGGAATTTAAATCAGACCAGGGTTCAATTCCCCACTGTGACACATCAACCAATGAGTCCCTGAGTAAAACACTTAACCCGTAATTGTTCTAGAGGAGTGCGTCCTCTGACATATGTAGCAATTGTAAGTCGCTTTGGATAAAAAGCGCCAGCTAAATGTACTATGTTCCCTATATATTGATTATACATTTGTTTAAATTGCGGTGTTGTTCTTATGACTTCACACGTTAACTAATTAATAAACCTTCATTTCTGGATAAAAGTATCCAAACTTTGAGTGATAAATCTCACATGAGCCACATATCAAAGGCAGTTTTACTGTAGTTGGATTGTACTGCCTCTAACTGATTTCCACAAAAATAATTATCCAGGCTATGTTAATTAGCCTAATCTTTAACTACATTGCCTTCACTTTCTGTTTAATGGATGTACTAAAGGAAATGTACAAATTTTGCGAGGTCAGTAGGCTACTTTTAATTTAGTAATTTTAGTAAGCTGGACATGTAATTTTACTTAAGTACTGGATTTTACGTGTGATGAAGTATTTATACGTTGTGATATTGACACCTTGGATCTCTACCTCTTCAAACACTCCGTTCCACTTTGCAACATGACTTGTAATAACTATTATTAAACAATGGCGCCATTTAGTGGATGAACTCAGAAACACTGTTAATGTCGGACCTTGTATAAAACCTGCATTTGCTTTTTATTAGGCTGCACAAACACAATGAATTAGAATATAATGATGGTCTATTGGCCATGACATGGTGCTATATTATTATATTAGAGATTTCAAGGACAACTTCTTTCAATATCAAAAACAGATCAACATCTAGGTGATATGTTTTATTTACCTGGATCTTTTCCCCATATTTGTGATATTTGTTGCGTACCTCAAATGACCTGCTGCGCATTAACCTTGTACGTTTATCTGTAGTCGAGCATTTGATGGTATAAAATTGTGGGTCAAACCTTGATATTGTGAGCAATACAATGTACAGTGAGAAATGAAGTTTGTATCATGTTCAGCTGTGCTGGTTCTGCTAATAAAGGAAAACATTCACTGATCTAAAATAGATGGATGTAGATTTCTATGTACTGAATATAAAACCAAAATAATAAAATGCATTCATAAACAGACATGTCGTCATGTTGCTGGTGGGCTACCTTACACAATAGAGGAAGTAATATGTGACCTCACAAGATAGTCAAAAGGCAATGTTGTCATACTTCATTTATTTATGTTAACAATGGAATTAATAACGAAAAAGTCGACACCGGAAGTATTACTTACAAACCATCCAGTTATTATACAAGAACTGTTTGAATTTATTTCCAAGGGAATTCAATGAAACTTTCATATGTTGTAGATAAATTTCACATCAAGTGAAATATTTCAGGCCTTTAGCTTTTATTTTGTTTATAAGGCTTACAGCTGATGGAAATTTAAAAATCCATACCTACAATATTAGAATAATATAATGTATAATACAGACAAAAGAGCCTTTAATCTCTTAATCTGGTGTCCAGGTCACTGCTGAAAAGGCTGGCTGTTCACTGTATCATGGAAAGTTAGTGTGATAGGAAGAGGATCACAAGCAACAGGGATGAATGCAGCATTGAGAGAATTGTTAAATGCAGAGTCAAGCTTTTGACTGAGGCATGAGTTTGTGTCACATTCTTGGTGTCAAGCCACTTCTGAACTGACATAATGTCAGACTCTCAGCCATAACTGTTGTTGATATAGTAATTATAAACTTTGGAATCATGTACAGGACATCACATGATCAATCAAACAGCCAAGTGTTTATCAAAGTTAATAAAGGAGCGTCAACTCTTTAGATGAGGTGTGTGGCCCTTAAAAGGGCCTTTGTGTTTCAGCGGGTCTGGACCGGGTCTAGCCTCCGAAGCCGTACAGGGTGCGGCCCTGCCTCTTCAGAGCGTACACCACGTCCATGGCGGTGACGGTCTTCCTCTTGGCGTGCTCGGTGTAGGTGACGGCGTCGCGGATGACGTTCTCCAGGAAGACCTTGAGCACCCCGCGGGTCTCCTCGTAGATCAGACCGGAGATCCGCTTCACTCCGCCGCGGCGAGCCAGACGGCGGATGGCGGGTTTGGTGATTCCCTGGATGTTATCACGGAGCACTTTACGGTGACGCTTAGCGCCTCCTTTACCGAGTCCCTTTCCTCCTTTGCCTCTTCCGCTCATCTTTCAGCTTTACTCGTTCAACAAATTGATGAATTTGAGGGTCGACACGCGCTTTTTACATCTTATCTGCGGACGTAAAAGAGGACAGAAGGCGCGAGTTTCAAACTCAGCGGCTCCTCCTACATCTTTAGCAGCCATCTTAAAGACAAAAATGATTCCTTTTGATTATCTCGTTGAATTATTTTCATGTTGTTCTACCTATTTTCCCAGCTGACATCTGGCGAAAGGCTGTAAACTGACTGATGAAATTGTTTCACTCTAGGTTAATTTTGAATAATCAATACACAAACGGAGACAAATGTCCACAACACATTAATATCATATCACATATATGATATTGATTGAGTGAAGAAGAAGAAGTAAGGTGAGCAGTAGTAGCTGACTGGTTTATTAAGGATAGAAGAAAAATTTGGGCAAATGAAGGCCCACACATATTATATATCACAAGAGCCGACAGATCGTGTCGGCCACCAAAGCTGCTCTTGCGCGAAGGAAAGAGAAGGTTGTGTATTCATGTGATCAGTAACTTTTTATTATTTATTGCAAAAAGAGAAATAAACTGTACATGAGAATAAAGAAGCACTGATTCCTGATAAGTCACATATTGCATATAGATATTTTGCAAACATGTAATTTGTAATGTGGTTCTAAAGGTTAGTTTGCTGTCTAACTAACTATGTGCGTTGTAAATGTTCTGATAATGATAATCCAGCACATCTTTGTAGTAGCATCCATGTTGACGCCACATTTTGACTTTAGAGCACATGAACACACTGAACCTTAAAGGAACGACTGAACCAGCTTAATACTAGAAACATGCCTGTAGGATACTACTGGAGTATCTGACTGAGCGTGAACAACTTGATAGTGTGATGTTGAAGTGTAATGGTTTGTTTTTATTTGTATGTATAAATATTGAATTACATTTTTTACTTTACATTTTAAGAAATCTAATATATAAATAATATTTTAAATAATGCTGTTACTGAAAAAGAACCTTAGTGTAATTAATCTCCATCATATTAGATAAATATTGGATTGTATTCATTGCTTTTAGTTTGGACTACCTTAGTGAATTGATGCTTTTGGCCAAAGTGAATTACAGGAAACACATTCAACCATGTAAATACAACATTGCAAGATTTTTGTCAATGTGACAACATGGCTGTAAATCATAAAGCCCAGAGATTTGATCTTTATGTACTGTAGACATTAAATATTATAATCACATTAAAGGTAGGCCTAAACTATTTCATTTTCAACACTGGCTGCTGTTTTGCTAATCAGGCTGCTTACAATTTTAGAAAAGTTGCATCTTAAAGGAAAACTAAACATTCAGTGTAAACCAATCACTTGCAGTCATTTTTGAATTATTCAAAATCTTAAAACAACAATTTAGCTACATAAACTCCTGCTAAAACGCTTAATTAAAATACTGCTAATGGCCTACAAACTGCACGTTTTCTGCTGCTAGAGCTTCACATTCACAAGAGCATTTAACTAGCAAAACAGGAGTTGGCTTTTATTTCAAACTAGTCACAGGAAATGGGCCTACAATGTAGCACTGACCGCTGTCGTCCGTCAAACTGCATCTACAAAACACGACAAAAGTCTTGTTGAACTTTTGATAGAGCAGTTTGAAATATTGCAGGGAGTTGAAGAGCTGCAGGCGACAGGCTGCACACCTCCACCTTCTCGGCCAGGTATCTAACTCCTTTCACTGTTCGCAGACTCATGTCTTGTGCAGCATGAAGTCAGATCATGGCTGCTCACATAATTATGGAAAAAGATCAATTACTAACTGACAATACTTTGTTTAGCTGCCCCGGACTTCTGTGACCTACAGGCTTAACCTGCATTTGCTGTTACAACCGGTAACTACAGGTGTCACGTCAACAATAACGTCTCAGATGTATAATTGCGTCAAAACCATAGACTAGCCTATCGGGCCTTAAAGGTATATAAAGTATTAAGGTATTAAACAAAGTTGATCAACATAATCAGAAATGCAGTCAGCAGTTACAGATTTTTCCCTCCTCAGTGAACAGCCTCTTTGTTGAAAGTCTGAGAGCACTTTCTGTTCAAGTTGGCCAGTTACCATTATGGATTTACCAGTTTTTTAAGAGTCTGTTCACGGAACAAAAGTAATGTGTGAAAATGAAAATTTTAAGCACTGATATGGTAATTTATCCTAAGATAATTGAAAGTCCGTCCCTCACGGTGTCTGCTTAGAGAAATTCTGGCCCTTGAACAAAAGTAGGCTAGTTAAAGATCCCTGTTCCGATCAGAAACAATGTCCTATGGAAACAGTGAATTCTCAGGAGACACGATAAGAAAAGTACTGACGATAATCTAAAGACAAGACAAAGTTAATGCAGCAGAATATTTTAAGTGTGGGCTTGTAGATAAGTGGCCATATACATGATGAGTCTTCATATTGTGTTTTAAATTGTCTAATCATGTCGACTAATCCAAATCATCTTCTCCTGTAAATGTGACCAGGTTCGTGGCAGATCTTCGTTTTGTGTCTGAATGTTGTCAGAATCAGATCTTCAGGCTCGACTTCCATCCAGTTGTTAAATAATAAATGTTTCTCCCCGTCGGGGAATCGAACCCCGGTCTTCCGCGTGACAGGCGGAGATACTGTCCACTATACTAACGAGGAAGGTGCAACAGTGCGTCCTCGAGGAAAAGCAGATTCATGGAGCTTGTATGACTGAAATTTATTCTACGGGGTTTCTTGCACCAGCTGTGTATTTTTACACCACCATGTGGCGCTGTTTCCTCTCCTGTCTGTTTATGGACCTGCCTGAAGGAGAATTACCAACTTAATCTGATCAAGATTTTGCACATCATAGGTCACTCTCTCCCACTACGATCCTGCTGTGAACCATATTATTATTTTCTATATTAGGCCTGTAGGATATCATCCCTATACCACTAATGTAGATATTTATACCCATTATAATAACTACTGGGAATCTGTCACAGAACATAGGCCTACAGTCTTGACTTGTCTCTATTTGTCCTTATAATGTTGTCATGATGTACAGAATATAATGCCAGCTGAGACAGATTAGTTATTGTGGATTATATAAATAAATCTGAATTTTAAACCTGTGTATTATCATTAATATGATTTGCTAAATCTGATTTTCTGAGACTAATGTGGTTACGTTTAAATGACACATGGTGGATGTTATAAAATATATTATTAATGAAAAGTGTTTCCGCCCGGTCTCGAACCGGGGACCTTTCGCGTGTTAGGCGAACGTGATAACCACTACACTACGGAAACTCTGTGAAAATGATGCGTTCAGGAACTTACTGGAAAGTGGATCAATTTCAAGCTGTAACCTGCTTCAGTACATCCTCAGGCAGCAGACGGCTGACTCCGGTCCACCACCTGCTACACCAGCTACAGTCACCGCTACATTGGCTGTTAATGTAAACATTTTAATGTAAGTTACTTAATACACAAATTAACATTGTTTTGTTTTTGCACCATCTAAATTTGATATACTGAAATTTAATAATGCCTACTGAAACCTGAAAAAAAATATCATTATACTGTTACGGGACAGGATAAAAGTCTAATGTCCCCTGTGTCTCAGCCGTGGCCCTCAACAGGTCTTTCTCCATCAGTGTGGAGGGAGGATTCTGTTTTCAGCAGAATTCCCCTTCCATTACTTTTCTGTCATATAGTTTGTTATTTTGGTCGTGTTCTGGCCTCTTCTAATGTTTGTGTTCTTTATTTCCTTTGGTTGAAAAACACAGCTTAGGCATTTTCACATAAGTCATCCTCTCACACCCTCAGTGTATCTCACACTTTTTTTCACTCTCATACATGTAGTAGCCTACTCATGTTAGGCATTGTCAGGTAATGTAAAACATCTGGCTAAACCGAAGAACACCAGCTCCCTTAATACCTGCCCGGAGAAGGTTTTGGAGACACAGCAGCTGTGGCAGTTTGACAGGTTGAACCTATTAAGACTCAAGTTACCAGTGGTTGCTTGAGTGCTGTGGCCACGCACACCCTGCCTTTTTAAACTAATTAGTAAAATGATTTTGGGCCATACTGAGCTGCAGCTGTCCTGCCCACATCACTCCATTATTCCAGGTACAACACATCCCTTATCAATTTATTCTGAGGAGAAATCTGTTTTGATGACTTTGATCAAGTGACATTGGACAAGACTAAATACATTTAGGCAGTTCCTATTCACTAGCTTTGCCTTTTGAGCCATGTGTGTGGTTCTGGCATTAACCTTCTCCAAGACCTTCAAGGCTATGCTCTCTCCTCCCACATCTAACATGCAGCCCACGTATTTCACCAATGTCCTTGTGTTTATATATTGTCTCCAAGCTCCAGGTTGAAACTTTGCTCAGCCTTATCTTAGTACTAAATAAAATGCATTCTGATTGTGGCTGTTGTTTAACTTATGTTGTGGCTCAGTGGGTCACTCTCTCTTAACTGTGCGGTCAGTGTTTGAACTTTTGTTTACATCAGTCTGAATAGCCTATACCTAGACTGTACTGCACTGGCCCTGATCTGGAGCCTGTAGATCACCTCGGGACATCCTTACTTGAACTTTCATTTCATTTGTGTAGATAATCAATTATTTTCATTTATTTGTCACTGTAGTCTTCAGGTGTCCAACAGTCTGAAAAGATTTTCAGCTTATAATAATTGATTATAACTGCTAACTACTACAAGGAATTTGCCTTGACATACCTTGAAAGCATTATCTAATTGTCTTTACTTTGATAGTAATTGTAAAAGGAAATTAAATAATCAAACATGTATATTCATATGCTGAGCTGAGACATCTATTGATGTGCCTTAATTTACCTTTCATAAAACTCTGCAATCAATTGTTATTGTTTTGAATTATGCAAACTCTCTGCAGCAAAATAATTTGAGCCACAGATGGATTCAAAGGGCTTCTGCTTAAGAGATTGTCTTTTACACCTGTATGCGAGCGCCAGTCTCCGTGTGTGAGGCCAGCGTGATAACCACTACACTATGGAAACAACTGCTGAACACCAACTCCCTCAACTCTTTCTATTTATTCACTATAGAAGTTCTTTTCACTACAGATGTGATATATTTTTGGCCACTAGCGGGATTTTGGTGGCGCTGTTTTCCCATTTTTGGTAAAAGTAAGGAGATCAGGACAGACAACGAAGCATCTGTACCAGCAGCAAACATATTTTATCAAGTAGTGAGATACATCAAAACGTCTCAGGACACATTTAGGACATTTACACATATGTTCAGAGAAAACACAATTTAAAATGTACTATTGTCCATTTGTCAACTGTAAATCAACTGTTTGCTGCTGCAGTTATCATTTTGTCAGGTGGAGGAAAAATAGAGGAGGTCTGGTAAAACCATAAACTGTATATAAAAATGGCGTTTGCTTTTGTCCCCCTACTGTCTGAAGTGGCATACATATTTATAATGCATAAGCCTTAGGGGACTTTATATAATAAGTGCTATGATGTAGAAATTGTATATTGCTGGTGAATGATTAAGCAAATAATTGAGCTAAAAGATTTTCCTCTCCCGGCCTTGAATGAACATTCAAGGAGAGGAACAACAACAGGGGAAAACACTAAACAATCTCACAGCTCTGACCTAAACCCTACATATGTGAACTGACTAATAAAGAGTATAATAATAAGAGAAGGTTTATATTGAGAGGAAAAATATGAAAACACAATATAAAAATAGAAAGAGAGAGAGAGAGACATAAACAATAATATTAATAAAGTAATAAGTAACAATTTTCTGCCACACCATGCTACAAAATATATTACATTAAATTGAACCAAATATGTGACCATGCATTTAATGTGTCACAAAGATATTGTTGCTTGTAATCCTCCAATTTCAAAATATCCGATCAAATTTGCTTATAAACATACACATAAATGGAATTATCTTATTACACAGATTCCTTGAAAACTGAGTAAAAAGGTTAGACTGAGTTTGTGACTTAAAGTCTCTGTGGCAATTTCTTTATATATTATTCTATTGATTAATTTTATCCTTATCTTACAAAACTGCAGTAGCCTATCAATATCTTAGTGTATTGCATTGACATTTACTGTGTTGTCTGAGGCAGCTTAACTTTATATTATTATATTAAAGCACAGGTAGGCTTCCTCACATGTGTGCCTAACCAGTAATGTATATTTCAGTCAGCAACATTGAAGCAATGCAGTGTTGCTAATGCTCAGGAAGAAAAATAGAAATTTCCCCATATTGAAAAGTAGTCAGATGAATATCAGGACCCGGATTAGCAAGAATCATCTAAGTTTATTAAATGATTGTTGACATTGAAATAAGCCATCAAAATATATAAAGTGGAGGATCAGAGGAAGGAGCTCTTGAGCTTTAGTGAGGTGGCTCTTAAAAGAGCCGTTGTGGTGTAAAGAGGTGTGGGGGGAGTTTAAGCCCTCTCTCCGCGGATGCGTCGGGCCAGCTGGATGTCTTTGGGCATGATGGTGACCCTCTTGGCGTGGATGGCGCACAGGTTGGTGTCCTCGAAGAGGCCGACCAGGTAAGCCTCGCTGGCCTCCTGCAGAGCCATGACGGCGGAGCTCTGGAAGCGCAGGTCGGTCTTGAAGTCCTGAGCGATCTCCCTCACCAGGCGCTGGAAGGGCAGCTTGCGGATCAGCAGCTCGGTGGACTTCTGGTAGCGGCGGATCTCTCGGAGAGCCACGGTACCGGGCCTGTAGCGGTGGGGCTTCTTCACTCCGCCGGTGGCCGGGGCGCTCTTACGGGCAGCCTTGGTGGCCAGCTGCTTCCTGGGAGCTTTTCCTCCGGTGGATTTACGGGCGGTCTGCTTGGTTCTGGCCATCGCGTCTCGTTTCTCTCAACAGGAGAAAAGTGTAGTGAAGAGAGGAGCCGCGCTGCTCTTAAACTGCGGGACCGGCTGCGAAGCGGTGACGCTGCTTCAGACCTCCGGCTCCTGATTGGTGAGGGGCCCCTGCTGGAGCTCAGCACCGCCTAGAGGCCTGAATCTCCGCCGCTTATTGGCGGAAAATCCCTTCAAACTTTCCGCCTAAACGCAGAGCGGGCCGCCCTCTGCTGCTCTGCAGGAAGCCTCTTTCCTGGTTGGTCTGGAAGAAACCGTCCCGCGCGCTGCGCGGACATATAAAGGAGGGTTTTGGCTGCCGCGGCCACATTTTCTTTGAGTCTCTGCTCTAGAAAGATCACACGATGTCTGGAAGAGGTAAAACCGGAGGCAAAGCCAGAGCAAAGGCAAAGACCCGCTCCTCCCGCGCCGGGCTGCAGTTCCCCGTCGGTCGTGTCCACAGGCTGCTGCGTAAAGGAAACTACGCCCAGCGCGTCGGTGCCGGAGCCCCCGTGTACCTGGCGGCGGTGCTGGAGTACCTGACCGCTGAGATCCTGGAGCTGGCCGGAAACGCCGCCCGCGACAACAAGAAGACCAGGATCATCCCCCGTCACCTGCAGCTGGCCGTCCGCAACGACGAGGAGCTCAACAAGCTGCTGGGCGGAGTCACCATCGCTCAGGGCGGCGTGCTGCCCAACATCCAGGCGGTCCTGCTGCCCAAGAAGACCGAGAAGCCCGCCAAGAAGTAAACAACAACAACCACAAACAACACAACGGCTCTTTTAAGAGCCACACATCTCTAACTAAAGAGACACTTCCTGCTCTGACTTATATTTTATGATTAGAGTTTCTGTAGTGAAACCTTTCCTCTCTTAATCTCATTCCTGACCTTTAAAAATGCATAAATAACCCCAATAACTAAACAAACTAAATACTGTTTCCACCAGTTAACATTAGGTGATGATGGTACTGGGAGACCCCAGTGTGTCCCTGAGCAACACACTTAACCCTTAGTTGCTCCAGAGGCCTGCAGCCTCTGAAATATAACAATCATAAGTGGCTTTGGATAAAAGCCTCAGCTAAATGAATAAATGTATGGAAAGATCAAATCCACCATAACCTATATTTTATGATGATTAAAGAAACTGTTCATCAAATCCTGAAGCTCCATATTTTAGATCCAACATTATTGTTTTCTTCAGTGATGTTACAGAATATAGTTTATCATAGAGTAAAATAAAGATTATGACACATCTGGAGACTTAAAACCAGCTTCCACTGACTCCTTTTCTCTCCCCAGAGAGAAGTTTCTCTGAGATCATGAAAAATTAAATGCAATAAGGAAAAATGATGACAAAGGGATTAATAACAAAGATCAACATCAACATCTATTAGCTAATCATTTATTTTTAATAAAATGCTATATATATATATATTCTGTCTGTCTGCACACACTTTTTTCTATCATCCAGGATAAAAAAACTGAGGAATTATTAGAAATGTTCTTTATTGTCCGACTAAATGTTGGTGAAGACTTGCGGCACATTAGTCATGTTGAGAAGCTCACATCCACTTTAATCTCCAATCACTGAGATATTTAAGAGCTTGTTTGTTGCTGAATGAAGACGAGACTTCTTACATCACCTCCTATAGCAAACACACTAGTAGCCTAGAAACAGCCTCTTAATACAATGTATGGAAAAAATAATTAAATGCTCCAAAATGATGGAATTCATTGCCCTTTTCACTTTGAAATATTTAATCTGTGGCTACATTCAAGACACAGTTAAAAATATCTATTTAACATGTATTTCGTTTAAATGTGACTATATGTATCCTATGTGATTGTAAGTTGTGTGTTAGTGTGTAAATGTACCATGTAAAGCGACCTTGAGCTCTGGAAAGGCGCTATATAAATAAAACTTCTTCTTCTAAATAATAATACAGGAATTAGGAAGCAGCCAATATACACAGAAGACCATAAAGGTGATGTTGGTACAGACTGAATAATGGAACAAATATTAATTACGTCTATGCTAATCATAATGTAGAAACAGCCTCTTTACAACCCATGGAAGAAATTATTGATAAATAAAACAGGAATTAGATGTTGGGGGGAATATATGGTAAATCCAGTATGTATTATTTTTCCTTTGATCTGAAATGATTAATATTTTTAATTTAAAATGAATTACTTTATATTAATGTTTTTTCCACCATGTTCTTAAATCCTAATATAACGATCAGTGTATGATGTGCTGTTAATGAGTGTGAACAGGCTCTTTGAGGAAGATGTGGTGGCTCTTAAAAGAGCCTTTTGTTGGGACATTGTTGGTCTTGAAGCAGCTCACTTCTTCTTGGCTGCAGCCTTCTTCACTTTGGGCTTGGCGGCCTTCTTGACGGGGGTCTTCTTGGCTGCGGGGGCCTTCTTCACCACCTTCTTGGGGCTCTTGGTAGCTTTCTTGGGGCTCTTGGCCGCCTTCTTGGCCGCTGCGGGCTTCTTGACCTTCTTGGGAGACTTCTTGGCGGCTGCCGGCTTCTTGGCTGCCGCTGCTTTGGGCTTTTTGGCCGCTGCGGGTTTCTTGGCTGCGGGCTTCTTGGCTTTAGGAGCGGCTTTCTTCACCGCCTTCTTGGGCTTGGTCTCCGCCTTCTTGTTGATCTTGAAGGAGCCCGAGGCCCCGGTCCCCTTGGTCTGGACCAGAGTCCCCTTCACCACCAGGCTCTTGATGGCGGTCTTGACGCGGGCCTTGTTCTTCTCCACATCGTAGCCTCCGGCAGCCAGAGCCTTCTTCAGGGCGGCCGCGGACACGCCGCTCCGCTCCTTGGACGCGGACACGGCCTTAACGATGAGCTCCCCGACGCTGGGACCAGCCTTCTTCGGCTTGGACACCTTCTTCTTGGCCGCTTTGGCCGGAGCGGCGACGGCGGGGGCGGCTGGAGCTACTTCTGCCATGTTCTGCTTGTTTCTCCTCACGATAACACGAGAGTCTGAATGATGGAGGCTCCGAGCAGCAGGCTGCACTTAAACACACCGTGAGAACCGTGGAGACTCAGCCCAGCTCGCGGCCGCTCGGTGCGGGCTGAACGCCGCCACTTGTGTTTTCTCTGCACCGATAAAAGGCTCCGAACTAAATGTGGGAGAAGAGCCGCAGGCTGCCGGTGAAGGAGCCGGTAGCGGACTGGTGTCTCTTCATACTGAAGTCATGTTCAGCTCTGATGCGCTCTGCGTTTGGTTTGCGGAGCCTCCAAACTTCACACATTCACCGTCGCGACCGGCGCGTATCAGCTGCTTTTCACTCCCATTTCTCTCCTAAAATGTTTTAAAATGCATCAGAGCTCCATCAAAAGCAGTTTTCCAGCGGACCCACATGTTTGTTCAGGCGCTCAAAGTAAAAACAAGCATCTGTTGATGATCAGTTTCTAATAAATCGAGTTTTTCTGGGAGCAGCAAACACACTGATGATGGAGGTTCAGCCTGACTTCCTGTCAGAGCTGCTCACTGTGGACGTTTCTGCTGCTGAGGACAACTTGTGTCTAGAACACCTTTTATATTCATGCTTCTACTGATAAATCAATAAAATAACTATAGTTAGTCACCTAATAAAATAACTATGGTTGTATTAACTATGTGTGAGCTAAGTATACAGATGAGAAGGTCTACAGAGTCTTTTACTCAAATGTGTTTCAGTTTCAGTTTTGTCCCTAATTTTACAGCACAGTGATGTTCTATAATGTTAAACTCTTTGGATAAAATATTTCCCTAATTTCTGGATTTATAAAATTACAGAACTTTTCTTCTCATCCCATAAATCCCAAATATTCTGGACTCAACTTTTAAGATTTCAGATCAGTCATTTTTTCATTCCAGGTGCTTTAACTTGGTCAACTAGAAACTGATGTGTCAATACTTCACATTAATTAGTTGTTGCCATTACAATGGCTTTAAAGATCCCCTCCAGAGGATCCTAACTGTAACACCAAACAGCTCTATGATGCCTGGCTGCTCCAGGATCAGCACCAGGAAAACAGTTGGGTCCCACTTTGCCTACCTGAGCTGTAGACCTGCAGACAGGAGAGCAGGAAAAACAAGGTGACATAACTCGTGCCACATTTATTCTTTTTAGTTTGCTGTTTTCACCGCTCGCAATTTGGGGGACAAACTGTGAAGATGTTAAAGATAAGATGTTCCTTTATTGTCCCCTGTAGGAGAAATTCAAAGTGGCCCAGCAGCACAGGGGAATGTCAAAAGAAAGAACAAAATACAATAAAGTTAGAACCAGTAAACATCAGAATCAAGTCTGTAAAATATATACACACTATATACACAAGCAAAACATCATCTGTCAGTGGATACGTTGGGTGCTGTGGTGTTGTGGAGTCTGGTGGCACAAATGAGTCTCATAGGCGCTTTGAGGAGCGGAGCTGGATGAGTCTGTGGCTGAAGGAGCTCCTGAGCTGCCTCAGCTCAGCATACAGAGGATCAGAGCGGTTGTCCAAGATGGTTTTCAGCTTTCTCTCATCTTCCTCTCAGTCACTGCCTCCACACTGTCCAGGTCCATCCACACAACCAGCGTACCCAGTTTTTCGGCACCACGATCCCGATGCCACCTCCCCAGCACACCACAGCAAAGAAGACGACACTGGTCACTACAGACTTAAGAGGATCCATTTGAGCGGCTCCTGGGAAAGAAATATTATGGCCACAGTCCACGATGGAACTTATAGCTGGCTCAGCTTTATGCACATTAGACTTTCATCATGTGGGATCATTAAGCAAAACACATGTTGGTTATATTCACACACTGTCAGCAGCTCTCCCACAGAACAGCACTGTAACTTTGAGAGATTTGAAAGAAACTTTAGCTGCACTGGAGTCAGAGGACGCTTTGATGATGTGATGGAAAATCAAAAACTGGTTGTGAGTTGACTCGAGTTACACATGATAAATATAAACTCACCTTCTAGAGAGGTAGCATCTCTGCTGACATGATCTGTGCATTGTTGTATCTTGTTCGGACTCCTTTTTGGTGCCTTTTCATAAACAACGACTCAGTTGAATACCACTACAGGACATCAGCTCTTAAAGGTGATTCAGTGGCTCTTAAAAGAGCCTTTGTGTTTCCGTCTCAGCAGGTCAGGATGAGGTTTGACCTATGAAGCCGTACAGGGCCCTGCCTCTTCAGAGCGTACACCGCGTCCATGGCAGTGACGGACTTCCTCTTGGCGTGCTCGGTGTGGGAGATGGAATTAAGTCAAGTCAAAATTTATTTAAAGTGTAAAATCACAAGCTGCG